TCACCAGAGAGACAGAAGTACAGAATTACCCCCAGGGATGATGACCACACCACAGTCCTTTCTCCTCCATTCTCCTCTTGGAATTTTGGGCACTCATGCACACGCACTTGGCATTAGCCTGAAGCTGCTGGGTCTAGGACTCGAACCATGGTTGACCATGTAGGAGTCTGGTGCTGTAACCACTATGCCACCTGCTGGCCCCTTAACCCATTTTAACTGTGGTACGAGCCTCAATGACTGAATGGCACTTCTGGCGAGTCTGTCACTACAGTGCTTACCATTCCCTGCTCGGGGCACTGTGACTGCAAAATTTCCTTTCCTCATTCTGGCTCAGACACATGCCTGTGCCTTTAGGTGACAAAAATCACAAAATTAAATTATCCCAGAGCAGGATTAAGTTTTTCTCACCGATAGTTTTTATCTGAAACTTCAGATCTTGAGAGACATTGCTAATGCATCTGCAGCGTGTCGGTTAGGGGGTTAGACCCTCTGGGTTGAGCACAGACACATGTGGGCAGTAGTGATTCAGCGTCTCCCTGGTCCCCACCCTGGTCTCAGTCACTCTGTGTCCTGGCAGCCTCAGCAACCTTCTGTCTCCAGTTCCCCAGCAGGCCCTGGCCTTGTGGCCCCTGAGAATGTTCCAGCTTAGAGTGCTGGTTGACAGGGGAGCACTGAGACCGGTGGGGCTCCGGGAAATTTGTGAGAGAGAGAAGGAACCTGGTGTGGCTCAGGGGAGAAGGAAGCTCAGGCCTGTGCTGGTGGAAGCGGAAACCGGTTCAGTGGCCATGAGAGGCGTTGAGCCAGTGAGTGTTAGAGGCTCTGGCGGTGAGGTAGTCCCTGGCCACTTCGTCTGTAGGAACATTCCTGGATTATTACTTCATCTTTTGAATGTGTGCGCCTTTACTGTGCCCAGGAGAGTAAGTGCCTTCAGGGGAGGATTGTGGATTGTACTCCTTTGGGGCCCATTCCTCCAGGCCACCTGGTGGAGGAGGTTGTGTATCTGAGTGGCGGATAAACAAATAAGTGATCTCCTTTAGCAAGTCAGGGGCAGCAGAATCCTACCAACAGGAGCAAGCCAGGCCAGATGCGACATTACTAGCAGGTCACAGGTGCCCACCAGGAGGTCCTCGCTGGGTTAAGCTAAGGTGAACAGATGCTCCTTCATTGATCTGGGTCTGGACAGCAGTTCTTAAAGTATGGTCTGGAGACCCCTGAGAGCCAAGAGGTCAAGACAGTGTTTCATAATATCATTAGCACATTTTCTTTTTGCTAAAAAAAAAAAAAAAAAAAAACCTCCTCTCATGAGTACACGGTGGATTTTTCCAGAAACTACTTGATCTGACAACATCATCACTCTGATGCCTAATTGAACGTGTACTTGTGTAATCAAATGTTTCTCAATGTCAACCCATATTTCTAAAATAAATACAACATTTTTTCTTTCCAAAAAAAAAAAAAAAAAAAAAAACCTCCTCTCATGAGTACACGGTGGATTTTTCCAGAAACTACTTGATCTGACAACATCATCACTCTGATGCCTAATTGAACGTGTACTTGTGTAATCAAATGTTTCTCAATGTCAACCCATATCACAAGAGCACTTCAGAGTCCCGAACAAATCTAGGGAGTGTAAAGGGGTGTTGGGACCAAAAGGTTTGAGAACTGCTGGGCCAAGCCATGTAGGTTAGATAAGACCAAAACAATGACAGCCAGAAAGACCTGTAAGAAAGTTCTAGCAGCAGACAGTAATCATCTGTTCTTTTTTTTTTATTTTATTTTATTCCCAGGAAAAACTGCATAGAAAATCTAATGGATGAAGATGAGAAAGACAGGGCAAAGAGGTAAGAAGGAGCGTTCTCCCTGCCTCAGCAGCGTTCTCTGGGGGTCTGTCTTCCAGGTCTCATTTGCCCTCACTCTGTTCAAACAAGAGCACCAACAGAACAAGCAGCCATGAGACACGCTCCACACACACTCACTCTTGAAATATCCCAGCACTCTGTGAAAATGCCTTAGACCAGCTCGCTCAGTTTTGCTCCTCCTGAGAAGTCACTGTCTGGGGCTTGCCAAGTCGTCGGTGTTCATAATGCTCACGTGTCCCCCTCATTGACGCTGGACTTCTCTCAGAGACCTTTAGTTGCTGCTTGTCCGTAAGAGGTGCTGCTGGGGAGGGCAGGCTGCTTGAAGCCCAGCAGCCTGAGGTCTAGTGTTGGCTTTGCTGTTGGAGAGCTACCTGACTTTGGATAATAACAGCAATAACTGAGGCTGGATAGTAGTGCAGTGTTGAAACACAACGCTCAGCAAGGCAGACCCACTAGGAAGATTCTAGGTTTGCTTGCAGAGACCACTGAGCGTACAAGGGACACACGCGTGCCTTTACCCAGGGCAGGCTAAGGCTGGGAGCGGATCATGGCATCATGACCCTGCTGGGCAGTGGTGTCTCTCTGTTTCTCTCACTGATGGGAGAAACAAATAAACCTTTAAAAAGTAATAACAGGACCAGCAGATGGTGTATGGTTACATCACTGGACTCACACGTAGTTGACCACGGTTCAAATCCTGGACCAACCCTGAGGCTTAAAACTTATCATGCCCAGTGTGTGTGTGGGTGTGGGTGTGTGTGTATGTGCCCAAGATCCCGAGAAGAAAATGGAGGAGAAGGGACTTCTGTGTGGCCATCCCTTTGTGGGGTTATTTTTTGCTTTCTGTCTCTCTGTCTCTCTTTGTCTCTCTGGCAAGTGCACACACCCAATAGCAAAAATCTCTCTTTAATAAAAAGTAATGGGACCAGCAATTAGCGTAATGGCTATGATGCTGGACTCCCATATAGTCGACTGTGGTTCGAGTCCCGGACCTGGTGGCTTAAACTCACGCAAGGCGTGGGTGCGTGCGTGCCCAAGATCCCGAGAGGAGAATGAAGGAGAAGGGATTGCGGTGTGGCCATCCCCCCTGGGAGGGGATTCTTTCTGTCTCTCTGTCTCTCTCTGTCTGTTTGCCGAGCGCACGCACCCTATAGCAAAAACCTCTCAAAATAAAAATAAATAAAATAAAATAAAATAAAATAAAAAGTAATGACAGCAGTAGTCATTTTTGCACACTGAGTACACACAGTCACCCAGCACTGCACTAAGCACTTTCATAGACTTGAGCTCCGTTTCCTCATCTGTAGATTGGAGACGTCATAGCCACCTGCACTGTAGGTCCAGGGGGCCACCTTCATTGGGTGCTGCCTCCATGGCACGGTACACACCCACAGTTCTGAGCTGAGCGTCTTGGTATGCTTTGTCTCGTGGCATTACCCACAGGACCACGCCGAGTGCTTCTGGGCGTATCGCTTCTCTTCGTCACCTGCAGCTCGGAGCCACGTGTTTCCATGTGCATTATCTCATGTCATCTCCAGCGTCCCTTCCACACCATAGTTATTCCCATTTTCTAGATGAGGAAACTAAGGCTCAGCAAGAATGGGTAACTCCATCAGAAAGCTCCAGTACGGGGCAAATTGGATGTTAAAGACAGGCCGTCTTAACTTTAGGCTCTGCTCTTATCCCCCAGACTACAAGAGACTCTCTTTATATGAGAACAAATTCCGTCTTCCTTGTAGGTCCCGGCTATGAGTTGGAGTGTGACTTTGAAGTCTATGGTCATGTTTACTGTCTCCCTCCCTAACCAGCCTGTGGCATGGTGATTAAGGCAGCTGGATCCCACACAGCTAACTGCAGAGTTTGAGTCCCAGACCCAGTGGGCTGAGAAACATGTAGGAGGGGGCGTGTGCATGTGTGCCCAAAATCCCCACAAGGAGAAAGGAAAAGGGATTGTGGTGTGGCCATGCCCCGTGGAGGGTGCTTTCTCACGTTCCCTCCCTGTCTTTCTCTCTGCCACCCACAGAAATCTCATGTTAGCCCTAGAAAAATTTAAAAAACAAACAAAAATTTAAAAACACCCTCCAACTCCCCGTAGTCTAAGCCCTTCCTCTCTGTGACACTGCACACCTCTAACTGAAAAAGAGAAAAATGCATACTCAGGCTCCAACATACTAAGAGATCAGCAGATGTAGTAAACATGCCAAAAAAATCTTGGCCAAAAGCTCTTAGAAATGAACCAGATTGGGGACCAGCAGTTGGCATAATGGCTATGTCTCTGTACTCTCACATGGTCAACCTCGGTTCAAGTCCTGGACCTGGCTTAAACTCATGCCAGACACGTGTGCCTATATACCCAAGATCCCAAGAGGAGAATGGAGGAGAAGGGATTGAAGCAGGGCCATTCCCCCTGGGGGGTGATTTCTCGCTTTCTGTCTCTCTGTCTCTCTGTCTTTCTGGCGAGTGCACACGCCCTATAGCAAGAACCTCTCCAAAAAAAAGAACAAGAAGAAGAAATGAACCAGATTGTCTGCAGCTTCTTCATTCATGCCCGTCTCCATTTGCTGAGGGTCATGGGCACAGCTACCCCCTAACTTTGCCCACATGGGAAGGCTAAGGACCCTCGCTGCTCTGGTCCTCAAGTGGGGAAATGGGTTTAGAATGTTTGGACGTCTTTGCCAAAAGAGCAGCAATACCTTGGGGAAAAGAGAAGCCAAACAAACACAAACCTAAGATTTTATCCATTTCAAAGCCTCTGGTTTTGCAGGTGGAGAGTTTATAGCAGCAACTTGCGAGGCCTTTCCCCTGTCCTGGAGGCCTGCTGTGAACTGTCTACACTCCCATAATATTTTTGATAAGATTAGAAATGTGTAGCTTGAGATCAAAACTCTCATTGTCTCCAGAAAACATGCTTTGTGTCAAACAAGGCTTTCAAAGCATTAGGAGATTCATGTGTATTTGGTTTTTTGATCAAGTTCTCTGAACTGGGGCACGGTTCCCTTCCCCTCTGTGAATATCCATGGAAATCCAGTGAGTATTCACTGAGTGCCTGTTGTGCGTTTAGAACTATCTGCCGGTTTCTATGTGCAAAATCATGGTCCTTGACTCAAGAGGGAAAGCGTTTGATTGACAATCCCTACGTAAGGAGGCCCTCAGTTTACCTTTTTGCATTGTAGTCATAGCATGTCCTTCTAATTCCAACGCAACACAGCTGTGTGTGTGTGTGTGTGTGTGTGCACTTGTGCACACAAACATGCGTGATTCATGGTCATCCAGGAAGCAGTGCCATGGAGCTAAAGAGCATAGGCTCGGCATCAGACAAGCCCGGCTGTGGCTTTTGCCATTGTCACTATCTTTGGACAAGTTACCGCACCTCTCTTAGTCTCGGTTTCTTCTTCCCTTAGACCAGTGATGATCGGAGCAGTCTCTTTCTAGGATTACTGTGGGGATTAAATGCAGCTGTGTTTCAGCACCTGGTACAATGCAGTGCACACAGTGATAACAAGAAAAGCTAAAACCAGCCCAGCTTCCATGAGCCCGTCAGCATACTGAACTGCAGTGTTGGAAGCCATGTGGTTTGTCGTGGGTTCAGATCCCCGGCGTGGGTGGCCTGAAACACACCAAGTGCATACATTGCACCCAATATCCTGAGGAGGTGGCAGGCTGGAGAAAGGGGGTCACGATGTGAGAGACCCTGTCAGGGAGGCTTCCTTCTTCCTGCCCCCCCTACTGTGTGCATGTGCCCTCTGCCACGGATAGAATAAAATTTTTCTTTTTAGAGGTTTTTGCTCTAGAGTGCGTGTACTCGCCAGAAAGACAGAGACAGAGAGATAGAAAGCGAGAAATCAACCCCAGGGGAGATGGCCACGCCACAATCCCTTCTCCTCCATTCTCCTCTCAGGATCTTGGGCACGCATGCACACGCACCCGGCGTGAGTTTAAGCCACCGGGTCCGGGACTCGAACTGCGGTTGACTACATAGGAGTCCAGCAACATAGCCATTACGCCAACTGCTGGTCTCAAATTTTTTTAAAAAAAGGAAAAGAAAAGCTGAAACTTACAGAGCCTCACAATGTGCCTGGAAAATTTTGCGTCCAGTTACTCTTTAATCCTCACACCGTCCCCTTGAAATATGTTACTACCCCATTTAACAGCTAAGAAATTGAGGCCCGGGAATGACAGCCTGTCAGTGGGGCAGAGATTCATCTGTAGACGCCAGTTCCTACAGTCCGAGCTCCTAATCACTTCATTTCTTTCAGTAAATGACAGCCCTTCCTTTTGAGTCACTCTGTTCCCGAAGAGAAGGGACAGAAGTGCTGATAGGAACCCTTGCTGTCTCCAGGAAGCAAGTGCCTGTAACTATGCTCCGCTGTAAAATACAGCTCACTCCACCTCTTGATAGAAATGAGCACCCGTTGGCTAAGAAAGTGCTTCCTGTTCGCCTCCTCCTTTAATCCAATATTAAACCAGTACATGGCCTCCTCTCTCCAATCAGCTCTGAGGTTCTGTTTCCATAACCCCATGCAAGTTCGTCGAGGGAGGGAGAGTGGGTGGAGAGTTTATAGCAACAGCCTTTTGTTCGTGAGAATCAAGAGTGTCAGGCAAGATTAGCTGATTTGGGGGGTTCTCAGCCGAGTGAATGCTGGTTCTGAAACACAAGCTAAACCAGTTTATTATTCTGTGACCCTAATCCTTAGACTCAACACAGATAAAATGGTTCAGGGAAGAGGGAGGAGTTCAAACAACAAAAAAGAAACCTACCTCTACATGCCATTGTGCAGAAGTGGATGTTTTAAGTGATTTTTTCCCCCTGAAGTTTATTTTTCTTCTTCCAGGAGAGAGACAGAGGAGGGAGGGAGGAGAAAGACAGGCCCCTCCAACAGGATCTTCACTCCAGGATCCAATCCCCGCCTCAGCCAGCCCAGAGCACGACCACATGCATGCACATGCCCCCTGGCGTGCTTGGGGAGGGTCTGGGACACGAA